ATAACACACTACATACATCCACTCGTTTTAAATAATAATAATAATCATTATTATTATTATTATTATTGTTTATATCGATAATATAGGGAAAACCCTCGCGTTTGTTTTATTTTGCGACCGATTTGAAATTCGTTCGTTGCAACATTGAAACGAACAAACACCGGAAAAGGTGGTTTTTTTTTTTTTTTCTCTTTTCGCCCGGTCGGAAGTGATGACGTCGTCGTTGCATTACGCTATAATTATTATTATTATTATCATTATTACCATCGGGTTGGAATGAATTTAGATTTAGACGATGAACCGATGCAAAAACCGAAGGAGAGAAAAAAGAAAAAAAAAAAGTTTTTATGTTTATTGACTAAACAAACGTAAAATTTTCTCGCGTCTCCCCCATTTGAAGAGAGAGAAAAAAAAATAAAAATCCTTTTCCTTGTATTCGTTCGTTCGTTCGTTCATTCATTCATTCATTCATTCATTCATTGACTGACGATTGATATGAATAATAGATTTTTAAAAATTCATTTAAAAGAAGAAAACGTAAAAAAAAAAAAGATCCCTTCGAAATATTTTTAAACTTCGGATTTATTTATTTTTTTTTTCTCTTTTGAAAAAATTAAAAGAACGATTGATAAAGGTGTAAAAGGTTAAAAGGTCAATTAATTAGAGATATACGATACTCATTCGAAGGGAAGAGAAAAAAAAATCCCGTGTTTTGGATATTACGTATAAATATTCGCATGCAAACATTTTCCATTTTTATTTTTATTTTTACTTTTCTTCGGAGTAGGGTAAAAGATATTGTTTGTTTGTTTGTTGTTGTGAGGAGCAACGGAAAATTTGTTTAACAAGTTAAATACAAAATTTGAATGCAGTCACGTCAGTGAAACGTTTAATCAATGCATGCATGTATAAAATATAAGAAAAAAAAAAAAAATCACGGCATTTAAATAAAGCGAAAAGTCCTTGGAAATCACTTTAATGCTTATGAAAATCATTTGCTATTTTGTTCAAACGTGCCGCCATTTTACAATTTATCAAACGTGTGTGTGTGCGTGTGTACATTTACCGTCGCGAATAAAAAAAAATTGAGAAAAAATTTATTTTACGTTTTTTCTTTCGTAAAAAAGGAGGCGGCGTAAAAAAAAAAAAAAAAAAAAAATCATTCGAACGACATCCAAGGCTGATGAACTTTTAATTGTCTGAAATTTTATTCGACGTGGCACCATTTAAGAAAAAGAGGAAAAGGACACGGCGAAGAAGAAGAAAAAAAAAAAAATTTTTTTTTTGGCCCGTTCGTTCGTTCGTTTAAAAATTGAAAAAAAAAAAAATTTGGAATTTATCCTAATTTAAATCATCATTATCATCATCATCATCATCGTCACCATCATCACCATCATCATTATTATATTCGGTAATATTCAACTTCCTGTTTCTTCATAAACTTCCCGATTGCTCACGAGAATCCAAAATAATAAAAATACCATTTTCCTTTTTTTTGTTTGTCCAGTTTAAAAAATGATCAATTCCTTTATAATTGAGAGACACAAATATGGCGGCGACAGCGAGAGACGACGCAAACATGTGGCCTATCAATAAAAAAATAAAAAATTATTATTATTATTTATATTTCTATTTTAAATAAATAAACATAATAATTAATTTCGATCGCGTTTATCCATCGTTTTCGTACCGAATTATTATTATTATTATTTTTATTATTATTATTATTATTATTATTATTATTATTATTAGTTTTTGTTTTACCGGAATGGAAAAAGATTTTTGATAAAGATTATTTTTTTTTTTCTTTTGCCACGAGGTATAAAAGATAATAATAACGACGTGTAAATAGGCATAAACTGATGTTAGATAAGTTAAAAAAGAAAAAAAAAAAATTAAAAGTGGGCAGATAATTATTTTTTAACTGTTATTATTATTATTATTATTATTATTATTATTATTATTATTATTATTATTAATATTATTATTATTATTATTATTATTATTATTATTATTATTATTGTTATTAGAAGATAGATACATGTACGATGTATGTTTTTCTTGTTGTTATTTTTTGGCGGGAAAATATTAATGGCGGTTTAAAATTCGAACGTTCGTCTATCGAAATTTTCTCAACGACGTAAAAATATTTAATTAAATGTAGTCGTAATTAACCGTTTTCCAGTTTGTTTGTTTGTTTGTTTTGTTTGTTTTTCCAGTTTGCCTTTTGGTTTTTTTTAACCGTTTTCCGTGACGTTTTGATAAGAGATAATAACAAGTTTTTATTTTGTTTTTAAAATTTAAGGTATAATAACGCCGCGTTCGGATCGTTCGTAACACGTAAACGAAAATTTTCAATTTGTCCGACGGTTTTTTGTTTTTTTTTGTTTTTCCTCAACACGTTCGTTTCGTCACGCGGTAAACAATCATCAGGTACGGAAAATTTTTTATACTTATATATATTTTTTTTGTCCGAACGGATCGAACGGATTTTTTTTTTTTGGCTACGAAGCGAAGAAAATTAAAAAATTGTTTTTTTTTTTTTATTCCGCTTTTCCCCATTTTAGTTTTTCCAATACAATCAAGATTCAACGGGAGGGTTTACACAAAAAAAAAAAAAAAAAAAGAGAGAACGTATCACGTGACTTTTTGTATTCATCCGTTCGGAAATGCTCACTGACGCGTTATGTTCAGATACCGCCCAGTTAAAAATTTAAAAATGATGACTTATTTTTGAATTATAGCATTTTAACAAAACCTCTATTTTTCTATCAGTTTTTTTTTGTATTAATTCACTTTCTCTCTCTCTCACTCTCTCCCTTTGACTCTCACTCTCTCTTTAACACCCTGTCCCTGCCTCTCTCTCTTTTATATTTTTTTTTTTTAAATTTTCTTTCATGTGTTTTTTCTATTGAATTTACATTTCGTTGACGCACATCATTCATACACGCATATTTATTTCCGTCATTATTATTATTATCATTATTATTATTATTATTTTGCTCCTTTACAGAACGTTTTCCACGTTCTACAATGATAATGATAAAGATAATAATAATGACAACGTCGAATGTTTCCGTTACATTTAAATTTGCGTAGAAAAAAAAAGAACAAAAAAAGTTAATAATAATATAAATAATAACAATAATAATAACAACAATAATAATAATTATTATTATTATTATTATTTTATTATTAAATAATTTTCCCCTCGTGTAAAATCGGTCAATTAAATTTCAATTTACCCGGAAGTTAATTAATTTACCTGGAATTAGGTAATAAAAAGTTTTTTTTTTAATTAAATTTTCTTTTTCCAGGCATTTTTTTTTTTTTTTGAATAAAAGTGAAAGCGAACCTTTTCTTTCTCTCTCTCTTTTTTATTTTCGTTTTTAATATATTTTTTCTTTTCTATTTTATTCCATTCTCTTTTACTCTCTCTTCCCTTCCCCCCCCAACGGCTGTTGTCTTCTTTTTTTTTCTGTGTGCGGTCACATAACGAAATTTTTTTTTTTTTGAGAAAATTTGTTTTTTTTTTTTTGTTTTACACTCAAGTTTTAGAAAAAAAACAAAAAAATATTTTATGGCTTTAAATGAAAGAGAGAGAGAGAGAGAGAAAGTTTGGAAAGAAAGTGAAAAAAACGGAGGGTTGGGGGGGAGGGAAATGGAGAGACAAAAAAATTTCATTGAAATGAAATTACGTTGAAAAAAAGAAAATTTTTTTTTCCAAAATGAGGGGTTGAATTTAATCGAGAAAAAAGAT